ATACTATTGAAGGCACACTGTATGTGCGAGACCCTGTTTGACCACACAGGTCGGAGGGCAAGCTTAGCTATTTCAGCTCTAGAAAAGGTGGAAGTTCAGCTGTAAAACAGCTGCTGTGCAGGTTGTACAGTAGTTAGTAGCAGGAGGAGGCAAAGGTAAAGCCTCTGTTAGGTTTGTTTTTTAAATTGTCACATGTGTTCACAGTTTGCATTCCAGCAGGTTGTTTGTTAAAATATGAAATAATAAGTGTTACGTTCCCCTATTAAGGTCCAGGGGATGATAAATAAACCCAGGGAAAAAGAGTCATGGGCAACGGATGAAGAAACAAAATAGTAATTTATTAACAATAAACTGAAATGCTCACAATGCAACAACTGAAAACTACTTTCTAGAAAGGAAAGCGACACTGATTAACAGCAGTAATAATTCAACTCAAAAGACCACGATATGAAACAAACTAACTGTTTCAACAAACTAACACCAGCACACGTGGTTCGAGCAAAGGAGATCACCAAATCCACAACACATACACAGCTTGAACTCTCTCTCCCGGCCTCTTAACCACCATGGCCCTAATCAGTGATTGAACCCAGCCACCTACGCTCACACACTGCAGCTGCTAGGCAGGGATAAGGGTGGCACCTGAATGGACACTTGGGAGACAGAGCAGAGAGTCAGCAGAGAGCAGACACAACACGGCCCGTGACAACAAAAAAGCAAATACCTCCTCTAAGACCGACATAGTGTGTGTGCTTTTGAACACATGTTGAAGTAACTTTCACAACAGTCATGACCACAGTGTAACAAGCTGACACACAGCATTGACAGACTATCATCATATAAAGTTGTTATGCCAAACATGTCAGCGAACAGTTGCAGATATACAAATCCAGTAGACAAAGAGCACCATTAGCATTAGTTTGGAGTCTTGAATGTGGCCACCAGGCTGCCCTGAGGCCAATATACTCACTCTCCAATTACCTCTAGTTTGGTCTCCACCAACTCCTGTTGGAAACATTAGGCTCTTTGGCTGGTAAATACTCCACTTCGTCCACTAGCTCCTTGATAACGTTGGTGCTCATACGTATGTGTCCAAAAAGCATGTTTGCAGGCATGTCCCTTTAAAAAGAGAAATCTAAGAAACTATCAAATGACAATTAAGAAGAGCTTGTATTCAAAGACTTCAAAGATCTTGAACACAATCGAAGTCGCAAAAATACATGATTTCAAACGGGAGTTTGATCTGACGTGCCTTAGGACACTTCTTTTATAATTCTGCAGAACCGAACACAAAAAGGAAAACCAATGAGAGAAGTAGGGAAAAAGCAGGTTTGGACAGAGGTACATGAGTCAGCTAAAAGGCTGATATTTGCTTGGCTCTAATTGCTTCAGTGGTGCCAACCATCACTGCTGTACCATGAGCGGTTTCAGAAGCGTTACATCTACCATACACCACTCATTTTGAGATGGCGGATGCTGGCAAAACTCTTGGCTGCCTCTCCGTACTTGATTGTTAAGTTTTGTTAAATTTTGCTGTTTAAATGGATCCCAACGCTAAAAACCTGAACGATAAAGTTGAGCTGCTTGTTTGAGGCTAGATATTGCCGTCTACCATCCAATCTACTCAAACATCTTCACTGGATTAGCCACACCAGATCAACCTACTGTCTCCATCTGCCAAAGCTACCTCCGTGCTAGCCCCAGGACTCCCGGGTGTGGTCCACAGCGCTACATCGTCGTCCTGCTACTGGAGCTGTCGGTCTTCCCTGCCTGCCACATCGCTTGCCAACACGAGCGGCCTGCACGAGCACACCTGTTTACCCTGCCGGGATCTCAAGCTCCGGTTCAAGCTCCGGTTCAGTCCCTGACACACTTAAACTGGCTGCTGTCACCCCCATCCTCAAAAAACCTGGACTTGACCCTGACACCATGAGCAATTTCCGTCCCATTTCCAATCTTCCCTTTCTGTCAAAAATACTGGAACACATTGTCGCCACACAACTCAAAGCCCACCTCATCTCCAACGATCTGTTCGAGCCATTTCAATCCGGTTTCCGCTCACAGCACTGTGTGACCAATATTGTGTATTTTATGTTTTTAGTGTATTGCTTTTATATATAATGATTTTAATGTAAAGTGTCTTTGAGTGAATTCCTTCTTGTCCCACATTCCCTTTTCCTCCCCGTCAGCCTCCTGCTGCGAGGGGTTTCTCTCCGTCAAGGTCAGGGCTGTGGTACTTCCCCAAGTCTTCTTGCTGATTTCCCGTCATCTTTAGTTTGAACCCACTGCTGCTGCTGAGATACACACATCGTAAAGGGGTTGGACATCAATATTCTTTAGTCCACATCCTCCTCTCTCTTTTCTCATTTCCTTCTCCCACTCTTTCAAATGTTCTGTCAGCTTGCAGTGTTTGTCATACTGCATGTCTGCCACCTTCTCTTACATTTCCTCCTACAACTTTTCTTCCATGTCCTCTTCACATCTTTCTCCACATTCCTTCCTCACCTCCCCCTGTCCTCCCTTGTCAATGTGCAGAAAGCATTAACCCTTGCTTGGGCTCGGTCCTGGGGCGGTGGAGGGGATTAAATTACCCCAGGAAGTGTAACACTTGTCAGGTCAAGTGTCCAGACTGAAACTTGGTGCTGGGATATTCAAATGAAACTCTCCTACATCTGCCTACAGTTACCTTCCTCCAGACAGACAGACAAGGGAGTGTGTGAATGGGAGCATCTATTCACACAGTCATTAATCTCAAACACTCTTTACATTCATTGACTGTTAATTTATGAATCATTTTGTTGGGAAATCTACAAGTCTAATTCAAGGTTCCATGAAGTCCTGAATCAATCTGAAAATAGAGGCAAATAAAACTCAGATCATATATATATACACAGATTATACACATTAGTGCTGGGCAACGATTACAATTTTTAATCGCATGATTCTGCACAAAATTCAATAATGAATACAAAAGTAGTGTATTGCGCACTTTTATTTTAAAAGTACTGCTATATGAACAAAAGTACAATAACATTTGGTTTGCAAACACTTTAAACAAAAAAGGTTCTTTTTAGCAGCAGTATTCCCTTTACACAGTAGCAGTTATGATAGATATTCAGCCGGTGTTCACAACTTTATCTTCATGTGTAATAGATGCAATTTGAAATATACTTCTTGAAAACTGCAAACTTATCTACGCCATGTTTTTTTCTTTTTTGTTAAATATAGCTAACTGATATGCTTATTATACATTATATTATAGATATTCCAAACGGCACGTTAAAATAAAAACGTTGCCGTTTTCCAGTGTAAAATATTGCCAGGTTGCAGACATTTTACTTCCTTTGGCAGACTTGGCACTCAGCAAACACCTGCCTGATCGCTACTGCACATGTGCAACTCAACTGAGATAAGCGGGAAGCGAGACGACTCCCTCCTTAGCAACTTTGAATCATCGATTTCGGAGGCAGCGATAGTTTTCTCCTGTAGCCGACGAGTGAGCCATCTCACCTCTGCCGTGTGGTTGTTCTTGTTCCTGTGTAGCATAAATGAGGCAATAAATGATATGAGAACGTGATATCGGAGCGTACTTACCTATACGCGATCCGGCGTTTCAGGCTGCATTGGAGGCATTTCTGATTCTAGTTCCAGAACTCTTACTAAAAAAAAAAAAAACTCCAAGCATTAAGCAAAAATTCCAAGTTTTGTTTTTTCACTTTTCATGTTATCACTACTTTGTTTTGCGTCTCTACCACGGTGTCACTTCCCATCAGTCCAAATATGGTCACTTCCCTTCACTGGTTGCAAAAAACAAGCTGGTGACAGCCAAAATCCAAGACGGCGTTCGCAAAACCGCAGTCCACAAACCAATAGGTGACGGCACGACTATATCCATTTCTTATATACACCAGACACCTTGTCGTCTGCCTGCTCTGCTCTCAATTGTAACAAACTCGAACTGTCGTCATATTTTCTCAGTTTAGCAAGTTTGGGCTCAGCGTCACTTGTGACAGTGTACCAATCCTATCGGAGTTTCTATCGGTCCAAAGACAAAATTCTTGTTTTTAGATGGTCCCCATCTGTAGATGTGCACTTTTTAATGAGACAGCACAATTATTCTTGATTTTAGCAATTATTTCGCAGACTCACCGGGAGAGTGCCACGGACCTCTAAGAGTGCCCGGTGTTACGGTTTAACCAGGGACCCTGTTATCTGGCGACCTTTAGCCGAATGAGTCTGTTGTAGTTACGGCAGCTGTTGCAAATGGGAAGAGAACACGTAGCTAGCTGTCCTTGTGAATGCCGCATTGTTTAATTTTGCAATACAGTGTCAAACCTTCTCATTTACAGTCTATGGTCAAAACATATCGGATTCGACGTTTGAGTATTTTGAGGAAAGTAGTCCACTCTAGTTTGAAACGTCGCTTGCTTGTTCATGTGTTGAAACAGGAAGAGAGCAAATTGCCCTTCCTGTGAAATAATAAAGTTGGTAACAAACACATAATCGTCTTTGGAGCAGTCTTTGGAGCCTGTTTTGTGGAAACGTGTCACGTAGAAGAACTCTGTAGCATAGTTAAAATAAAAAATCATTAAAAAAAAAAAAAAAAAGTTATTTACGGGATTCAAACTCAGAGTGGAAAATAATTGGCGATCAGAGGCAGTGCCACAACACCACGATTGGCACAACGGTACTGTTGGCGGCATAATAAAATGTAAAATAGTCAGCAGTCACTCCTAAGAGCAGGGGAAAACCAGATCAACTTGTGACCGCACTGCGCGTTTACCATGCAGCCTTCTGAAGTGTACCACGGAGGACTTTTGGATACAGCTGGTTTCCGAAACAAATCTTTGTAGCGCTGCAAATTAATGAGGCAAACATTTGTGATGTTGTCATGAGGTGAAAATACACAATGTGGACAATAACGCATCAGAGCAAACCATAAATGGCAATGCCATAAAATGAAGAATTTAACCAGCCAAGAAGACAGATGTCAAGTTGAGTTCATTTGACTTTAATAAGCCAAAAAAGACAATCACGTTCAATTTGTCAAAAAGTTTAACATGGATTAGATTAATTTTCAATTGCAAGATGGGCACAGATAGTCTTCATCTGTGCTGGGCTGTGCTATACACAAACCCAGTGGAACCACCGGGAACACAATGTGCATTCAATCTGAAAGATAGAGAAATTAGCTTTTTTGTAAATAGATGCAATCTCCATATACAGAACTTTAAGGCTTCCTACCCAGTGATAAACAGGTGGCTCCGAGGTGTCCGCAGAGTTCCTTTCACCACACATGCGGCACAGTTCTGTCTGGTTGTCTATTAAAAGATATTCCAAATTAGTGGGTTAAGTATAGGAAAATGTTCAGTGAGGGTTAGATACAGTTGATTGAAGCTTACCAGAGTCATCTAACAGTCTCCTAGACATTTCTCTTTGCATAGAGTTAATGGCAACTTCATCCACAGCGAAATCAATGCTGCCTCCCTTTAACAGCAGCTCGACTACCAGGTTAGTGTTATGCGTGTCCTTTTGACAGTTTTTAAATGCCTACTAGAGTTCATAAACTTACTTTGCACACCAGCACTCCACAGGACGTGGAATCCTGCTGAAGGGGATATGAGACAGTGTCACACATCCATCTTGATAAGTTCACATTTTTCTTCTGCATGAATGCCCTAAAGCAAAAATCATTGTTACTTGCACATTAGAAACCATTGAACATACATAAGACATGAAACAAATGAAAATAAATCCAGATACGCTTACCTTGTACAGTCCCTACAATGATTCAGCTGAGCAGAAGTGGCTCCAAATGGATCGAAAAAACAGAGCCCGCCCTTCCTTTGGATACATGGCCTTTTACAGAAAGGATAGTTTATTGTGCAAGATTCTCACAGTTTGATATTTAGTTGCATAAATTGCATTGGTTTAAGTACACTTACCACTAGAGTCCAATGGTGGTTCTTGCAGACAGCTCCAACAAGAGTGTCCCACTCCCTCACATCAAGCTGCAAAGTGACATTATAGTTTGTAAGATTGTACAACTGTAACAGACACCCTTTAAAAGCAACCATTATCCTTACCTTTCTCAACCCCCTCGATTTGCCATTCCAAATCGCCATCATTGCATATGTGTCAATAACTTTGACCTTGTTTGTTACCCACACAAGGTAAGCATTTATGATCTAAAAATAAAATATATAAATTAAATGAACTTGCATTTCTAAGAGGTACAATCTTTAGCTTACAAACAACACTTACCTCACTCTGACTGAGGTTGACTGAGATTTGGCTGGTGGAGGGTCAGAGCTGTCGAGAGGAGTAAGGTTGGCAGGTTTGTCAGGGGTGGAGAGGCTAGACGTGGTAGTGGAGACGGGGGAGCCTTGAACTTTATTCAGCTTTGCTGGAATCTTCTCCTCTGGTTCAGTAAAAACAGTTAATTCATCAATATTGGCCACTGTTTTGGTGGTGTTGTTGGCTAAATGTTGGCTTCCCCTTTATGGCGTGATGGTAAATCATGTCTCCATTTTCCCCCCTTTTCACTGCTTGTTACGTGTTGCATTTTCTCCCCTCCTGCCCTTCCTTTTTTTTCTCTCTCCCTCAGTCTCCTATCCTGGCAATCAGGCAGATGGATTCCACCTGTGGGGGCCGGTTGTCCTGATTGGTGGGTGGCACCAGCGGCAGGCTGGCCAATCGGTGGATGGAGAGCCACGGATAAGAACAGGGTCTCAGGAGTTCAGCGGGGGCTGGTCTTCTATCGTCCTGTCAATTCTGAGAACTGAACGTGTTAGTATTTGTGGTGAGAGGTAGCGATGGCGAGATGAAGCTTCATGAAACGTTGAAGCTTTCCATCCAATTGGTTCACTCATGGGTCGAAGCTTCATGGTGTTTCATTTGCTCTACTGCGCCATCAAGTGGACAATAAATGTAAAACAGGCAGTTTGTGATGTGTGATACATAATTTATGAACTTATTAATATGGTGTCCGTCTTTATGATACAATGGCGGGGTCAAAAGGGAAAGTGGAAACAAATTTGGGAGAAATAAGTGACATGAAATGTAAAAAAAAGTTAAAGTTAGGATTTTATTGTCATATACATATACGAAATTTGACTTCTGCATTTAACCCATCCTTAGCTTATTGGGAGCAGTGGGCTGCTGAGAAGCGCCCGGGGTTCAGCAGTTAGGGGTTCAGTGTCTTGCTCAGGTACAAGTCGGCATAAAATATGTAGCAACTAAGGATCGAACCGCCGATCTTGCTGTTACCAGACAACCCTCTCTACCGCTTGCGCCAAAGCTGGGGAACAATAGTCTGGTAAAGGGAAGGGGGGGAAGAAAAAGGAGGGGAAGAAGGGGGAAAAAGGGGGAAGAAGGGGGAGAAGGAAAAAGAAGGAAAAATGAGAGAGAAAAGAGAAAAAGAGGAGAAAAGGAAGAGAAAACACTCTTCAGGGCCATCCACTTAGACTCCCGTGGTGTTTTAAGGTCCTTATTTACCGTATTTATATTCTTATTGAAGAAAAAGATCTTTTGTGTGCATTTGTGCATAGAGAAATCGTCCGCCGGTTCAAATCCCGGCCCCGGCAGGATTGAGGTTTACGATATTCGTAATAAAAGTGTTTGTGTTGCCCATGTCCATTTGAATTTATTCAAGATATTGACTTGTGCAATGCAATTACGTATTGTTGTGTTGGTATTAAATGAAACATCCCTACTTTACTTATGATGTTGACCCATACAATGCAATTACCTGTTGAGACATGAGTTTTAAATAAAACTTGCCTTGTTTCTTCAAGGTATTGACTTGAACATGAACTGAGACAGTATTGATGTAGAAATCTTAATTCTATTCTCTGTCATTTGAAAAAGGTTATTGTAGGCCCTGGGTAACTGTGATACAATGTGTCACTACCTGAAAACAAGACTTTGCACAGAAAATGTATGACAAAAGGAAACTTTTATTGAAATATCGAGGACAAAATATTTAAAAACACCACTCTACAATCTATATAACAATATATTATAATTAAATATAAAATCCTATAATTAAAATGTATCTACAATATATATAACATATATATATATATATATATAAAATATAAAAGCACCACACAATAAAATCAACATAAATATATACATAAATACAAATGTCAAGTAAATCAAAGAATGAAATGAGTATCGTTTGCAAGAAAACACGCACTGTGGGATTAACACTTGAATACAAGTGAATATAAAAATATATATGAAACAGGGCCCTGTGCATGAATCCAATAAAAAAAAAAGGATAAATTATTTTGTTAATAAACTGCTGCACTACAGCCAAAGGGATGTGTGGATTCAGTCTAGAACAAGAGCATAAAGTTCACAGCATTAAAGTGACAGAACATTTATTGACAGGAGGTTTGCTCGGGGCAGAGCGCCTTAACTTCTCCCATTTCTCTCGTTTTTTCGGTCAGTGGGTCCACAGGCGTTGGAAACCGTCCAGAGCAGTAGTTTACTGAGAGAGTCTGACTCACGTCAGATCAATTCAAGGGAAGCTTTCCATTCCTGGACTTGGGGATTTCCTGCACACCTGAGGTCATTCTTAACACTCAATTATCAGAACCCTTCAATGTTTCAAATACAGCTTTTTTTTTACGGCTGCTCGGACTCAGTGTGCTATTGACCACAAAGTCATGATCAGGTTTCCCACTATCTTTCCAAAGGGATGGGAAAAACACGTGGTCATCCAGGGTTTGGATCTCAACAACGGTCAGTTCTATCTATGTTAAATTGAATGGCGATATTTAGCTTTTGTTTTTCCACCATCAGCACTCACTGCACAAGAGGCTTGCTCCTTTCAAAGCTCCCTCCTCGATGCTCTTTAATAAATACAAATGTCCAGTCTATCTTTTCTTCATCTCCTCCAACCACTGCTCCTTAGGGACACGCTCTACTGAGGGGCAGTATATCGTCCCCTTATACTGACTGTGTCCAGTCGCCGCCGTTCGGAACTGCCCGCATTTCTTGCACGTGTTGTGCAATACTTTGCGGGTCAGTTTTCGGGGGACGACTGGACCAGTAGGAGCAGCAGCAGGAGGAGCAGCAGGAGCAGCAGAGGGGAATCCCAGGGCCTGTGGAGCAACGGCCAGAACAGGCAGAGATGGAGCAGGGAACGGCTGCTGCAAAATCACCAGCTGAGGTGTTGGGGATGGAGCTGGGAAGAGCTGCCGCAGCTCTGAATGCTTCCTCTTCAGTTTTGCCTTCCCAGTTGACGAGGGCAGGTCGTACGGGTGAGCTGGGTTGGTCGATGTGGGTGTCGCTACCGGCGGTACAGTGGGTGGGTTCAGAGGTTGATGAGCCTCGGGAAGGTGACTTGACGGCAAGGTCAGCCCCTGCCTGACCGTACTATTGTCTTGGCTCTTCACCCTCTTATTGTGCCACTGCACCAGGGTCGTCTGGCTCACGTCCACCAGCTGCAGGTCCGTCTGCTGCATAATGATGCCGTTCCCCAGAATCCGCTGCCTGATCCTCCTGTAGTCCCCCGAGGATGAGGTCCCACCGAGAGACTGTGCTCATCCCCATCCTCCGGGGACTACGGTAGATCTCGCAGAGCCTGGTTATTATCGCCTGCATTAACCTGGAGCAGTTTGGCCACTGTGCCAGTGGTGGTCAGGCTGTGCCTCTTCACACTGTCCACCCCTGCTGTGAAGTCCTTCCTCTTTTTTGGGGACCTGAACCTCCCCGTGTCCAGCCTGCTCTGGTGTCTGGCAGAGAAGACCACCCTCTCTCTGTCCATCACCAGCATGTTCTGCCACAGAGCAACAATGTTGCTCACCTATGCAGAGAGAGAACACAACAGCCCATGAGAAGAAGAAAAATAAATCTATGCGTGTGAATATGCATGACATGGCACAAAGGGAAAATAAGACAATGAATGCTCCTCACCGTCTGATTGTCTATTGCCAAGACCGGCTGGTTCCTCAGCTCCAGTAGACACTCCGCCAAGCTCTCCACCCTGTCCATCCCTGGCATGCAGGCACGATCCACAGCCTAAACAAAAATACAGAGATGAGCAACACAACTTGAGAACAGTCAAATGGGACAAAACCCAGATACCGTGATGTTATTTCTTCACACAAAATGATGTATTTATATACCCCGGACTCTGGAGCCTGGGAGGTGGACGCAGCCTGGGAGGTGGACACAGCCTGGGAGGTGGACCCAGCCTGGGAGGAGGACGCAGCCTGGGAGGAGGACGCAGCCTGGGAGGAGGACGCAGCTTGGGAGGAGGACGCAGCTTGGGAGGAGGACGCAGCCTGGGAGGAGGACGCAGCTTGGGAGGAGGCAGGAGTCGGAGACAGGGAAGCCAGCTGGGTGAGCAGGGACAAAAGCAGAGAGGAGGCTGCAGCTAAGGTGGCGGCTGCAGGCTGGGAGGAGGCAGCAGGCTGGGAGGAGGCAGCAGGCTGGGACCAGGCAGCAGGCTGGGAGGAGGCAGCAGGCTGGGACCAGGCAGCAGGCTGGGAGGAGGCAGCAGGCTCGGGGGAGGCAGCAGGCTCGGGGGAGGCAGCAGGCTCGGGGGAGGCAGCAGGCTGGGAGGAGGCAGCAGGCTGGGAGGAGGCAGCAGGCTGGGAGGAGGCAGCAGGCTGGGAGGAGGCAGCAGGCTGGGACCAGGAAGCAGGCTGGGAGGAGGCAACAAGAAGGGAGGCTCCAGGCAGAGAGGAGGAAGAGAGGCTTGGGTCATCCAGGAGACTTGCCACTGTGCCTTCCTGGAAGCCCTCGTCTACTTCTTCTTCTTCTTCCTCTCCCTCATCGACATCCTCCAGCATCTCATCTGTATCTTCTGACCCAGGGACCACATTGAGGGGCTTTCCAGTCTGGCTCAAAAGGTAGTCCACGCCAATGAGCTCGCCTATGAATAAGAGCAGAAAGACACACACACACACACACACACACATTAGTTGTAGTTAAAGCATTATATATACAAACCTTTAATTTAGAAAAGTCCGAGTTGTATTTATATCATGTTATGGATGGCTTTGGCAATGGAAATGATACAAATGTAGCCTTGTTGAACTTCAGTTAGAACACTGAAAAACAATAAACCAAAAGACTTATGGAGCCAGATATTAACGAGACATACCAGTGTATATGGAAGGTGGCCTGAAGGTTGGCACAAATGCCTCGCCACACAACTTCAGGCTGTTGTTGTTAATAGACTGGCTCACGTCACCGGAGTAGGTGAGGAAAGATGACGGCCTGCCGGTCACCGCTGCTGTCCCCCGATCCTGGTTCCACCTGTTCAGGCCTTCCAGGAGGTACAGCTGGAAATTCAGTGCATTTGCACTAGTTCCTGAACAACAAAAACAAAACAACAACATTGTATTGCTTTTCAATCTGAATGCTTTCACAAAATAACCTACAAGTTATTGAAAATATAAAACACAAGAGAGACACCAACCTGGAATGAACCTGTTCAGGTGGCAGTGAAAGGACTCCAGGGATGTGGACCCTCTGGCACAGCGGTATTTGGTCAGGATGACGCCACTCTTGGTGGTGGTGGTGCCTACCACTGTGTACAGTGCCACATCTGGGAGGTCCTGGATGCACTTGACGTG